TTGTAACCCACAGCGAGCATTTGGGGGTTTAGGGTTTAGGGTTTAGAGGAGCCTTACTAATTAGAATAGGAGTTTTGGGGTTCCTTGAAAGGGTTCCTTAAAGGGTTCTATAAGGGCTACTGTAAGGGTTTAGGGTGTACTGTAGGAGCCTTAATAATTGGAATAGAGTTTTGGGACCCATTCTACTCCATTATAATAAGGAACCCCAAAATATTATGGGTAAGGGCCCCTATAGTAGGGTTTAGCGTTCAGGGTTTGGGGCTATGATTTCGGGCTCCGGTTTCGGGTGTAGGCCTTAAAACCGGCGGGAGAGTTGAACACTTCCATGCGTTAAACAGGGACCTTGAACGCAGATATGTCGCAAGGATCATTCGCACCGTCTGCTTGAATGGGCGTAAGATGCTTGAACGACTGATGTCCGAGTAGAAACCCTAAACCCTAAACCCTAGGGCCTTCGATAGGAACTGCCTTACTAGGAGCTCTACCCGTGCGGCTCTTGAAATTCAAATTGACGGCTTGGGTTGGGACCCCCACACCTTGAAGGCTCAAACGCCCAAACCCTAATGCGAAGACCCCGAAACCAATTAAACTTGTTAGATTCCGAAATCCCCAAAATCCCTAAATCCGTCAAGCACTAAAGCTCAAAGCCTTGAAGCTTAATTACATCATGCCCCAAATCATTCAAAATTCGCACTAAGTCCTCCGACCGCCCATTTCAAACACTACGCCCTAAACCCAAAATTGCTAAACCCTGAGAATGACGGCCCAGCGGCTGGAGATCCACCATCGATCGGAGGTTCCCAGGCACTTTGAATCCCAGGGTCGTCTTTCGGGCATTGCCCGTGAAGCCCTGACACGCATGAGTGGTCCAGACACTAAATGTAAATCCCAAGATCGGAACATTGCAAGTGCTTCCGAGATTTTCGTAAATTTGGACAAGGGGGCATTACATAATCATTCAATTAAACCCTAAACCCTAATCCCCCTAAACCGTCTTCTTCAAACTCTGCTTCGTCAGCGACTAAACCCAAACCAAGAGGGGTTTATGGGTTCAGGAGTTTAGGGTTTAGGGGTTTAGGGTTTTGTTTTGGCTCTCGCATGGCGGTCCCTGAGTGCAGTCGAAGCATGACTCAGAAACCCCAGATCCCTGAACAGAACCCTACCCCTCCGCGCCTCGCCATGATCCTGAAGCCCTCTAGGCCCTCCCTAAACCCTAAATCCTAAACCCTAAACCCTAAACCCTATACCCCAAACACGCAAAGCAAACCCGCAACCCTGGAAGCCTGCGCACCCCGAAGTGCTGAACCATAAAAAAGTTCTGCAGAGTTGTATGACATTCCCCCTACAAAATCCGCGCAAATACGACCATTACTGTTACTATAAGTGTTATTAGTCGTCTTACCCTTGGTATTACTATGATCGTTGTTACTGTTTAAAACAGAAAAAAGGAGGACCTTTGGCTTATCCGTGCCGATCTTCAGGAGCCCGGGGAGGGAAATGGACCTGAGCTGAGAGCCCAAAACCCACAACTCTGAATCATAAAACTCGTGTATGGTTTATGGGCTTTGAGTGTTTAGGCTTAAGGGGTTTAGGGTTTGCAACTCTGAATCATAAAACTCGTGTATGGTTTATGGGCTTTGAGTGTTTAGGCTTAAGGGGTTTAGGGTTTACAACTCTGAATCATAAAACTCGTGTATGGTTTACGGGCTTTGAGTGTTTAGGCTTAAGGGGTTTAGGGTTTACAACTCTGAATCATAAAACTCGTGTATGGCTTATGGGCTTTGAGTGTTTAGGCTTAAGGGGTTTAGGGTTTACAACTCTGAATCATAAAACTCGTCTATGGCTTATGGGCTTTGAGGGTTTAGGCTTAAGGGGTTTAGGGTTTACAACTCTGAATCATAAAACTCGTCTATGGTTTATGGGCTTTGAGTGTTTAGGCTTAAGGGGTTTAGGGTTTACAACTCTGAATCATAAAACTCGTGTATGGCTTATGGGCTTTGAGGGTTTAGGCTTAAGGGGTTTAGGGTTTACAACTCTGAATCATAAAACTCGTCTATGGTTTATGGGCTTTGAATGTTCAGGCTTAAGGGGTTTAGGGTTTACAACTCTGAATCATAAAACTCGTGCATGGTTTATGGGCTTTGAGGGTTTAGGCATAAGGGGTATAGGGTTTAAAACTCTGAATCATACAGCTCGTACAGGGGATTGAGGGTTTGGGGGTTTAGGCTTTAGGGGCGTTTAGGGTTTAAGACTCTGAATCATGAAGCTCGTCTAGGGGTTTAGGGTTTAGGGTTTTTAACGGCCTAGGGTTTAAAGCTCTGAGCCATAAAGCTCGTATCCGGGTTGATAGGGCTTTGAGGGTTCAGGGGTCTAGGCTCTACTAGGCTCTAGGCTCTAGGGTTTACGGGTTTAGGGCTTAAAACTCGTAGAAGGGGTTATGTGTACCCGAACCTGCTTTCATGTTCGGCAAAGAGCCCCCTCTTGCAACTGTACAAGCAGATCCTGGCTTTTGGAGTTTCCGGCTGGGTTTAGGGTGTAGGGTGTAGGGTTTTGGGTTTAGGCTTTAAGGTTATGGTTGTTCTTGACATGATGTTATGATCTTAGCAGCTGTAGCGATGAGGCAACAGCAGCCACAAAACCATCTCCTACTTACCCAGTTCTTCTGACTATCTTACTCATCACAACACTTCTGTGCTGCTGTTGCCGCCACTTTGTCGTCGGGTGTCACTGCTCCGGTTGGGTTTTCTGGTTTCTGCAGGGTCTCTTATATAACCCAGAGACTCCAAACCCCTTAATTGAGGAATATACCTTAAATCATATTAAAGATCCTATTATAATTTAAGGTATATCCTTAATTAAGGAGTCTCTGGGAAGCTGACAAAACCTACTGTTGTGTGGGTTCTAATTATAAACCCGAATATGCATGCTGTCGGGACCCTACCAAAAAAAAAAGTCAGGATTTGCGGAACCCTTGGTCCAGAACAACTTCCCCCTTGTGGGTGAAGAGGGAAGGGCTTAGGGTTTATATAGGGGCTTACGGTTTAGGATGTAGCGTTTAAGGCTTAGGGCTTTGGATTTAGGGGGTTTTGGGTTTTGGGTTTGGGGCTTCGAGTTCAGAGGTTTATGGTCTAGGGCTTAGGGCTCAGGGGTTTAAGGTTTATGCTTTAGCTAGTTCATGGTTGGGGTAGTATTAAAAATTTAAATTTATATTCCTTATTGGGTTTAAGTACCCTTAAAAATGTAAAATGTTACCCAACTATGACAAAGTTAGGGCTTAGAAAATTGGTAGCGAGAGCCAGGCGGCTTGCTCAGCTGCTGGGCGGTCATGGAGGCCGCGCTTGAATGTTAGGTTCGGGGTGTCTCTGAGCCCTTCGCAGCAGCATCGGTTTAGGGTTTAGGGTTTAAGGTTTAGGGTTTAGGTTTTAGGGTTTAGGGTTTAGGACACAAGCTGTCGAAACCCTGACGTTCCCGATTCCCGAAGTGCAGTTCCGGCCGATAGTCCTGCCCCAACAACCGGAACAAACTCGTCATCGCAGAAACCATGCCCAAGAGCGCGAAACCCCTCGAAGGCAATCCGAACGGTTCAGGACTTCAGGGCTGGGGTCCCCCCGTTTAGGGTTTAGGGTTTAGGGTTTAGGGTTTAGGGTTTAGGGTTTAGGGTTTAGGGACCAACCCCTGTAGCCAAAGGAATTAGCGCAAAAATTTTTCTTCATGCTGCGCTAAGAGTTGGGGGCAAGCCCGTTTCCGGTTCCGTCTCGGACGGTCCCGCGCCTGGGCATGACAGGCGGAACCTGGCTACTGCGATGGACCCCGCCCTTGTAAGGGCTTGATTCGTTAATTCGGAGCCGTAGCGATTAGAATAGAATAGAGTCTTTGGAGATTATATAGTCTACTGTAACGATTTCGTTAATTCGGAGCTGTAGCGATTAGAATAGAATAGATTCGTTGGGGATTATATAGTCTACTGTAACGATGATCAGGCACCCTGAGGAATGGTTTTAATTAGTAGTGAGTGTGGCCCCTATGTTAGTCTCAGAGCATGTGCCCTCAAGTCAAGGCTCAAAGTCCATCATCGCGGCATTTCTGGATCCTCTGGAACTCCGGAATACTCCCCAGGCCCAAACGTGCACCAGAGCAGAACAAGAACCGTTGATGATGACAAGAATACGAATGAGGCAGGCGGGGATGATGACGATGATGGTGAAAACGATAATTATGATGAGGAGGAGGATGAGGATAAGGATATCTGATCCCGTTGTGGCACGAGTATGTGATGCTACTGCTTGCAATCGCAACACGAAGCAAAGCAAAGGGAATTACTGATATTCGCACTACGACTACGAGTACGATTAAAACGACGACGACGACCGTGCTCTCTACCACGACGCCTACGGCTGCTGCTGCTGCTGCTCCTGCTCCTGCCGCCCCTCCTACTCCGACAACTACTGCTACTCCTCCTCCTCCTCCTGCTCCCACTACAACTACAACTACTACTACTACTACTACTACTACTACTACGACTACTACTACTACTGCTACTACTACTGCTATTACTACAACTGCTACTGCTACTGCTACTGCACTGCTACTACGACCACTGTTACTACTATCCCTGTTTTCCGTGGCCTCCTTCGGAGGCCGTGGCAAGAAGCATGGGTCCGGGGCATTGCGTGCACAAAGCGTCTCGGCTTCCCACCCGAAACCTGAGATCCTACGCTTGAGCTTTAGGGTTTAGGGTTTAGGGCTTAGGGTTTAGGGTTCAGTTTAGGGTTTAGGGTTTAGGGTTTAGGGGTGTGTTTACCCTCAACCCGAACACCCTCTGAAGAAGTAGCTTCTCGGACCATTCTAGGTGACTTTTTGGAAACAAACTTCATGTTGTGGCCCGGGGGGTTCGCTGGGCCTTTCTATGTAGTGGAAATCAGTAGAAGGGAATCTTTTAAGTTCCGTGGCATGTCATAGTATAAGTATACAGGGACGATACTACGGATATTATTACAACGAGTTACGATTATTCAGACCTACAGGCAAGGGGTGCGCTGTTGGTTCTGGATTTTTGGCATTTCGCCCGCCCAAGGACCAGAAACGGAAGACCCTGGATCATCTCGCCAACAACTCGCGACACGGAAACGGGACCTGCGAACCCTAAACCCGACAAAGCACCTTGAAGCCCTAGCCCTAGGTCAAAAAGCAGAATGCCTACAACGTCGGGAGCCGAGCTCTGCACCTTGTGCAAGCTGGAAAGGTGAAACGGCTCAAGATACCAAGGGTTCTGAGAGTCGAGGGACAAGTGCACCATGTGTCTACACCCTGGACGGCAAACACCGAAACAATAAACCACAGCATCAACTGGACATTCTCAGAACCAACTTGAAGTTGCAGCCTCATATCGGAAGCATGCAGGCCAAGTTCAAGCAATGTGGCCTGGGCCCTTTCTCTCCAGAGGTTCTTGGCATAACTTGAGGAATTTCGGGGCTTTAGGGTCTGAGGGCTTTGGGGTTATCTGCTGTAGCGCCTGCAAGCCGTTACAATGGGCGTGCCGGAATACTAGGTATAGAGGAAAGCTTTGCCGATGGCTTCGAGTCCCAACATCGAACCTGCAGGTGTTGAAGGAATCCGCACATGGCTTTTGACTGCGCCTTTGCTTGCTGCTTGAGGGCAGCAATTCCGCGGGTGAGAAGTGGACGTAGTTGCGGGGCTAGCTCTACAATATTTTACTGATAGTGCCTAAAACCTTATTGCATTCTAAAACCAAAAAGCGCCCTGTTCAAAAAAACGGTTCAGCACTTCGAGTTGGGGAGCTTGCAGGCTTTGTGTTTCGACTCAAGGTCTAGGCTTTGGGGCTGTAGGGTGTAGGGTTTCGAGTGTCGGGTTTGGGTTTAGAACTTCGGGCCTAGGGCTCTTGTAGGGGATGTTGCGCTGCAGCAGTGAGCATTCTGCAACGCCTGGAGAGGGCATCCGAAAAGACAAAACCAACCCAATGCCGTCCTAAACCCTAAACCCAAAACAAATCCTTTTGGGAGGAGGAAGCTGCGAAAACCGCTTTGATGCAAGCTCTTACTACTAGGCTCGCATCTTTAATCACTTAAGCGTAACGATGCTTAATGGCTTCCTACCAAATGACAATACTCCCACTGTTGAGGGTTTAGGGTTTAGTAAGAAGGTTTTAGGGTTTAGGGTACCAAATGACAATAACATGTAAAGCCGCTCTGCAAAGATGTAGTTCCCACGTTTAGACAGTCTGGTGCAAGGGTTCAGCTTTTCATGGCTATGAGTCATGAGGTGGGTCAGCCTAGGTGGGCAGCCTGGGCTTTGAGTTTCGGGTTTAGGGTGTAGGGTTTAGGGTGCCAGAGGATTGAGGCTTCCCTGTTTTTGAGATTAGGGTTTAGGGTTCAGGATGTCCCTTTTGCTGTGGTGGTGCCTGAGTCATGGGCCGGCCCAGGCGACTGCACGATGACAGGGGCGAAACGGCCCCTGAAACCGCGCAAGGGCTTGCACTTCGCGAGGAGAACGGACAAAATCGTTGTAATTCGACATCGGAGCCTGGTCCTATGTATAAATCTTGGGATGATACAGGGATTATAATACCTGTCGCGAGAACGTTCAAGTTTACACCCTTGACCCTAAACCCTGAACCCTTACTCTACTACAAAGGTTACTGGCCTATCTGAACCGATCCGAAAAGGGTTTAGGGTTCAGGGGCTCAAGGGTTGCAGCCCCGACGAAGCCAAATTAGTAGTAGTAGTAGTAGCAGAAGTAGTAGTAGTAGTAGTAGTAGCAGCAGAAGTAGTAGTAGTAGTTGTTGTTGTAGTAGTAGTAGTAGTAGCAATTAGCAAGCGCTGTAGTCGTCGTAGTCGTGGTAGTGGTAGCAGTAGCTGCAGTAGTAGGCCCCAGAAAGGGGGATGTAACATCACTGAATGCCCATCCGGACTCACCTGACACAACCATGGTAGCTGTAACCAGCCGTTGACATTCCGTCATTTCCCAGATTGCAGTTGCCTGGCCCCACATGTTGCGCCAAACTCTCAGGTCATCTTTTCAGGTTTAGCAAGAGGGTTTGGGGCTGATGAAGCAGGTGTAGGGTCTATCTAAGCCCCCAAACTAGGTAAAATAACGGCCCAACACCTCTAAAGGCTACTATTCTTCATACTTGTGGGGTCCAGGTGGAGTCAGTGACAACCTCACATATCAAACGATGGATCGAGACCTCGATACGACGTCCGCAAGTCCGCTAGAGGTGGTCTGACAAAAGAAAGCCAACTCAAACCCAAATCCCAAAAGCCGTTTTTTTATCAAAAATGGAATCCCTAAAGCCTTTAGTTATTAGTTGTCCCCAGAACCCTTTGTACCCTAGACACCAACCGTAGGAAGAAGGCTCATGAAACTGTACACCCGCCGGGCTCTCTCCGTCTTCGTTGCACCCTCCGTTGGCCCCTCAGACGCGCAGCGACGTAGCTCCGTTCAGCAACTCCTTGAAGTGGAACTGTCAGGATTTGGGGCTTGCTTAACGAACACGCCGAGACTGCAAACCCAAAACCCTAACTTTAAGCCCACAAGCCTAAGTCCTAAATTGCGTACGAAGAACTGTCAAACGCTTCGTGGATCGTGCCGGGGAAGGCTCGCTTTCGCTTGAGTCGCCAGGTGCAACGTTTAGCCGTGCTATGCGGGTCTGGACTTGCGGGTTTAAGCGGGTGAAGTTTTAAGGATTTGCTTTGGCCCAGGACTTAGGCTGAGGGCGTAAGATTCAGGGTTTCGTACTTGCGAAACGAAACGTCCAGGTAAGGTTTGTGACACAGTGGATTCGCTTGTTTTTTCATGCCGACGTGGTAGAATCAGGCCATACGGCGGCTGTTGAGCTATTAAAAAGGCCAGACTCGGCCTTCGCCGCGTGATGCTTAACATGCTTGGGCCCTAAATCGCCCACACACCCGAAACCGCAACTTGAAGGCTTTCCCGCTGACCCTTGCCGATGGCAAGACTTCCGGGGTGGGGCTAAGTTGGTCGTGTGTTAACTCTTGTCAAAGCCAAGGATCTCAACGGGACCCAAGCTCAGTCTCAGAAGCAAAACCAAATTCCTGCAGAAAACTTACTAACCTAAAAATCCTAAACGACCCTTTAACCCAAATGCTATAAGCCGTACGCAGAGTGGCTGGGCCCAGAATTCGCGGTGCCGCGTCGTCGGACTCCCCCGCAATTCCGAAGCTGCGCAGCAGGGTGACAACCTGGAGCTATGGCCGAGCCAAGGGTTTACGGTAACATAGGGGCCTTAATAATTGCCTATACTATTCTGGGGGTTCCTTATTATGATTATAGTATAATATACCCCAAAACCCTATTCTAAGTATTAAGGCCTCTACATTATTTTGGTCACGAGCGGTTGCGGTTTGGGGTTCAGGGGGCTTGTGGGATTGAAGCGGTTTAATTAGGGGGTTCAGGGTGCAGAAGGGTTCAGGGTGTTTTGGCACTCGCTCTTGACCAGGTCAGGCGAGGTATACCGGAGACACTAGCACAACACAGGCATCGGCAAGTCGCTCCTTCCCGTTCTTAAGCGAAGGGGCTACTATAAATTACATCAGTTGCATGTTTTGACGCGTTTCTCGAACACGATACAGCAGCAGCAGCACCACCACCACCACCGCCACCGCCGCCACCAACACCCAATCTGCTCGTGATACCCTAAACCCTAAACCCTAAACCCTAAACCCTAAACTCTAAACCCTAAACCCTAAACCCTAAACCCTAAACCCTAAACCCTAAACCCTATTGCAACCTCGCACTCTGCCATCCCCAGGCTCGGTTGCTCGGTGCGCGATGCTACCATTTTAAGTTCTCGGTAGTGTCATCCTTACCAGCACTGCATATATCACCAGCAGCACAAGAATGACCCTAAACCCTAAACCCTAAACCCTAATGTAAGTACTGGCAGTGCATCCGGCGACTGCTGTGGATTCAGGGACCGAGGACCTAAGACCTCAAACGTGTGAAACCTTGGCAAGTGCTGCCAGACCCTCTGTCCGAAAAGGTGTGTGTGTGTGTGTGCATAAACAAATAAAAATAATGAAAAATATATAAATAATAAACATATATATATATATGTGTGTGTGTGTGTGCACGTATGTATTGATGCATTTATTTGTGTACGCATCATATATATATATATATATACACACACATGTGCCGTTGTGGGGGAGGGCTTGTGTTGAGCAAGATCAGTGATACCGCTCCAACCCTAAACCCCGAAGCCTAAACCCCAACCCCTACACCCTGCACCCTGAATCCTGGGCCTCGTGGTCGATGAGGTAAATGCCCTTGGACGCTGCAAGCTCCTTGAGCCGCTCGGGCTCAATGCCTGCTACCACGGAGGCTCACGTTCCAACAAACGGGGCGTGGATAACTAAAACAGAGTTTTGCGGTATGCCACCATGTGTACGTATGCATGTATGTATGTATGTATGTATGTATGTATGTATGTATGTACTTACGTATGTATGTATGTATGTATGTATGTATGTATGTATGTATGTATGTATGTACGAATGTACGAATGTACGTATGTACGTATGTACGTATGTACGTACGTACGTATGTACGTATGTACGTACGTACGTACGTATGCATGTATGCATGTATGCATGTACGCATGTATGCATGTATGCATGTACGCATGTATGCATGTATGGAAGCATGTATGTATGTATGTATACATGCACGTGTGTATGTATTGTTCTGCATAAATTTACGTATGCATACATGCATGCATGCATGTGGATGTGCATGCGTATGTGCGTGAACATGTATATTGTATAGGTCAGGTCTATGTCTATGTGCATAAACAGATGTGTACATATATATATATGTGTGTGTATACAAATGCATGTATGCGATATAGACAGATAGCTAGTTAGCTAGATAGACAAACAGACAGCTAGCTAGACAGACCGATGGATAGATAGATGGATTGATCGATTGGTTGATTGATTGAAACAGATAGATATAGACGAAGATATCACGTAGGTATACATGCTTATGTTTGTGCTTACTTGTTTACGTCTAGATAGCTTTGTGACTATACTTAGTTGAATTTGTTGCTTTGTGCATATTTATTGATGCGCATCTGGTTTTGTATCGTTTTTATCTAACCTTGCTTATTTGTTTCTCGTTTTTATACTTGTATAGCTGCTTCTACTCATCAGCCTTAATTACATAAAAGTCTATTTGATTAATGCTCCTCTAAATCTACTTTCAACATCTATACTCGCTCATTTTTGATACTTATGCTGACATTTTCGTTGATTATTGTATTGGTACTTTTGTAAGGACTATAAGGGGGACTCCATTGCTGGTGCAACTCCGGGACAGGCTTCGGTTGTTGGGTTCAGGGCTTTTGGTTCGGGCACGCAGTTTCGGGTTTAGGGGCTAGGGTTCAGGGTTTAGGGTTTAGGGTTTAGGGTTTAGGGTTTAGGGTTTAGGGTTTAGGGTTTAGGGTTTAGGGTTTAGGGCTTTTGGTTCGGGCACGCAGTTTCGGGTTTAGGGGCTAGGGTTCAGGATTGGGGTTTAGGGATCGGGCTTAGGGCCCAACCCAGGTGCAAAAGCTGAGCTTGTGGGGGGAGTGGGGGGCGATCAACGGCGTACACCGCGCCAACCCTAAAGCCGAAACCGAAACCGCCAATCTGAACAAAAGAACAACTATCGGTGTCACTACCATATACACCGCGATTACCACTTATTGCACTCGTTTCGGATAGTATTGTTTTTGTTGCTCATATGCGTATCACTTCAGCTGCTTGGACTAACTTCCTGTAACTATGCGTATCACTTCAGCTGCTTTGACTAACTTCCTGTAGCTATTATCACACAAAAGATCTAATATTTTTATAACAATATGACTGTTCATATTGATGCTGATACTATTACGCTGAGTCTAATGGTGTCAGTATTCCCCCTAAACCCTAAACCCCTAAACCCCAAAACCCTAAATCCTAAACCCCAAAACCCAAAACCCTAAACCCTAAACCCCAAAACCCTCAACCCTCAACCCTAAAAAGCCCTCCGAGACCGGCCTTGCGCGCTCTGCATCTCCGGCTCGCTCGCGAGGGAAGCCACGCGCTGGGCGCAGGCCACGGGATCCGCGTAAGGAAACTCTTTGGGCCGCGCCTGGGAAGGGTTAGGGTTTAGGGTTTAGGGTTTAGGGCTTAGGGCTTAGGGTTCAGGGTTTAGGGTTTAGGGTTTAAGGTTTAGGGTTTAGGGTTCAGAGTTTAGGGTTTAGGGCGCCTGGGAAGGATAGCGTACCATGAGGGGTACTACAAAAGCGTACTATACGGGATAATATGATAGGGTACTATCAGGGGTACTATGCTAGGGTACCATGAAGCGTGTAGTATAGAGTAGGGGGGTGACTGGGGTTTAGGGTCGTTGCGGGCTACTTATCCAGGCCCCTATATTGGGGCTTTGGGGTGGAAGCTGAGTTCAACCAAGGTTCCGTTTGGATGTTCGCTTTCGGTCTTGGAAATGCAGGTTCTCGAGAAGAAGTGGAGCTGAAGATGATTTTAGCTTGGTATGATCATGTAATGTAGGGGCCTTAATAATTCGCATAGGGTTTTGGGGGGTTCCTTAATAAAATTATAGTATAATATACCCCAAACCCTATTCTAAGTACAAAGGCCCGTACAGTGGGGCTTCGGGGATGAGAGGTATGTGGCATGTCAGGACCCATGAGCCAGAAAGCCTAAGAAATCGTTAATCTACCCCGCTTCCCGGGTCCGGTTTAGGGAGCCCAATGTAGCTCTGCCTCGTCTCTCAATATGGACACACACGCACTCCAAAAACACAAAGACTAAAACATATGCATAATTGTGCATACATAACCAAAGTAAACAAATCCCCACGTCCGAGGGCCTCCAGGTATTGCAAGCAGTGCTCATCTGCCCTCACGATCTGGAGAGGTTGTGCCGCTACGGTGACTGTCTGGCCGACGAAGAAGTCCTGACCCAGGGCTCGAGCGAATAATAGAGGCCTGAATAACTTCGCCTCGTCGTTGCTATATACCCACGGTTTAGGGTCTAGGGTTTAGGGTACTAGGTACTATACGTTCACAGACCCCTTGGAGTTCTTTTACACTTACACGACAAGATATCCACAAAGTCCGCAGTCATAGTCTCATTGCTAAGACCGCTACAGTCGAGGGTGCAAGCTGAGGTTCATGGCCGGTTTGGAGCTTAGGCCTTTGGGGCAAAGCTTCTTCTCGAGTCAAAAACCACTCATCTGATTTAGTCGCTTGTCCGCTGTTTGGGGTGGAGCAGGCGAGGATCCATAGGGTTTAGGGTTCAGGGTTTAGGGCTCGGGGTTTAGGGTTGAGAGTTTAGGGGTCGGGGTTTGAGGGGAGCCGAGGATACTGGCTGCCAAGCCACTCAAGCGCTTACATGAACTTTGTGTGTGTGTGCGCATGATACGCCTCGGTGCAGGATCACTAGGATTATGAAGTGCGCCAGAACTCTACGAACCGTGGCACGAGGAAGAATGGAAGAAGTTCTGACTCTTTGAAAGCCTAAGGAAGCTAAAACCACGTCTCCTAAAACACCACCTCAATAAGGTCTGGGAGTTAATCAAGGAACACATGGTTGTTAAGTCGCAGTGTTTCTGAACGGTCTCAGTACTCTCGCAGTGCCTCGAGCTTGAAGTAATCCCCGGTGTCTGGATTCTTGATGCGTCGCTTGTCTGCGAACTTGCCCCCCATGTGCCCACTGTTGCGCACGGGTACCTGTCCAGCACGAGAACCCAAACATACAGTTTTACAGTAGTCCCGACAACACGACGGGGAGGCTTCATTAGCTTACGTTTCTGCGGCCTGCTGATCCCTAAAAAAGTGTGGCTAGCCGGAATTCAGGCGCTGAGTGTGTCGCAAAACCGGAAGCCGCCCCAAACTCTATCCCCTGCCCCCCAAACCCATCTACTTTGGCCCTCCGAGTTCACAGGATCATGATTTTCAGGGCTTCAAGCTCCCCCTAAACCCCAAACCCGATGTTTCAGGCTTAGGGTTGGGGATGTCGTGAAGTGCCCACAAAACGCTCCAGACTTCCGCACTGCCTTCGCATACCCGTCATCCCCTAAAAGACTGGGTTCTTGTTGAGGGATTTGATTTCAGTTACCATGATAGGGATCTATAGTAAAGTAAGTTACCATAACAGGGATGTATAGGAAGTTAAGCTACCATAATAGGGATCTATGGCAAATAAGATGGTGTATTTATGATGGTGACCCTAAACCCCTAAACCCTGAACCCTAAACCCCTTAACCCTGAACCCTAAATCCCTTAACCCTGAACCCTAAATCCCTTAACAAGAACCCAGAGGAGCGCCTCAAAGACTGCCACATCTCCATCCGCGGGGTAGTAGGCGATGACCAGTTTTCGCAGCTCGTCTTCGGGCTCGCCATTCCTGGGGGGTTTTTTGGGTTTAGGGTTTAGGGTTTAGGGTGAGGCTGGGCTGAAGAGGGAGATAGGATTACGGGGACCCTTGGGGATATAGACCCTCTCAGTAAGACCCCTTTTAAGAGAGCGAAGTAGGGTTCAGAAGGGTCCCCTTGAAGGGGTCTCGCTAGCACTGGGTTAGGCCTTCTGGTTGGCGTTTGGGTCTGCGGAGTTTAGCGTATGGGTTTACAGGCTGTTTTCCGCAGGTTCGGGGGAATTGTGGCAATGCCGCCGGCCGAGATTGAACATGTGGGCTGCGAATGCTTGTGCGATGGAGCCGGCATCTCGAGCCCACCTAAATCGCCAGAAGACTTGGCAAGCAAGGCAACAGAGACATCCATGGAGTACTGCACACACAAACCCTACAGCCGGTATAGCTATGCCACAATACGTTCCCAAGCCCATTGTGCTTGGTAAGGCTACTACGGAGCATAGTACATGGGAAATCTCGGACACTACGGTCCAGTAGTCTTCGGTGTTTATGGACATCGATGCCTTCAATTCGCCCACCTTAACAAGAGCTTAGGGTTTAGGTGCGAAAACCCGGTGGTGCTGCAAAGCCACACCATCTTGCACTCAAAGCGCAAGACTTCGCCGGTGTAGACCATCAACCTGTCGTTGCGGCTTCGGGTGTCAATGGGCCTCCTGTACTGGAACCGGACCATGAGGGCTTCTATGCGAGTTTAGGGTTTAGGGTTTAGGGATTGATGGCTTTAGGGTTTTGGCTTTAGGGTTCAGGGTGTAGGGTTTAGGGTTTAGGGATTGATGGCTTTAGGGTTTTGGCTTTAGGGTTCAGGGCGTAGGGTTTAGGGTTTAGGGTTTGATGGCTTTACGGTTTTGGCTTTAGGGTTCAGGGTTAAGGGTTTAGGGTTTGATGGCTTTAGGGGTCAGGGTGTAGGGTTTAGGGCTTCGGCGCTCACACTCAGACAATCCAGGCGAGGCATGTGGTTCGCG